TGGGCACCCTTGGCCTTGCCACAGTGGAGCCTGCATAGTACCCACTGTCATGTCAGGTGGGATCTCACCTGGTTCTGGGCAAGCACCATCCATCACGTGCAGATCGTCCAGTGCGACATATGCGCGGTCACCCCCACCTCCTGCTGCCTCGAATATCACCTGCCGGAGAGGTGGAGAGCGGGGCGCGGACTGAGATCAGGCAGCAGCCCTGGCGCAGGTGGCACCCAGGACCAGGAGATCCCTGATGCCTGGCACTTGTCCCCAGGAGGCCTGGAGGAGGGCTCATCGCCTGCCCATGCTGGTGTTCCCTCGTCGCGGCCATGCCTCCTGCAGCCTCCATCCTTGCTGGGACAGAGCGTACCTGAGTGCCCCGTGCTGCAGTGCCCAGGACCCTGCCCCATCTCACCCTCCAGTCTCTGTCTGCCTGGATGGTGACCTGGCCGTGGTGCCAGGTGCTCCCCTGCATGGCGCTCACAACAAACAGCTTCGTCCGCATGCTGCTCTCCTCCACGAAGACGCTGAGGGAACCTGCCAAGGGCCAGAGATGCTGGATGCGAACCCCAGGAATGGAGCAGGGAGGGGTTCCTGGTGGTATGAGGACGGGATGGGTGGGATTGCCATGCCTTGGCATTAGAGGAGTTAACCAGCCTCCATTCTGCTTGCCACCTGGGAGATCTGGTAATGGGGCCAGCAGGTCTGGTGGGTAGAGCTGGCCTGGGTTTGAGGCCATGGTGACCACACATGTTTACCATGTCCTGCTGTTGCAAGGGTCCATACCCTTGTCTGGACACCGCTGGCCATAGATCCCCACAGGCCAGAGGCAAGAAGTGAGCTTGCCCCAGGAGGCTGTGTGGCTGGGGCCGGTAGCTCATCTCAAGGTTCCCACCCACCAGCAGCTTCACAGGCAGGATCCAGGAATCCTGGGGTTTGCCTTGCTCCGGCGCTGACCGCGACATGGTACTCACCTGGGGCCTCCCTGCTCAGCTTGTACCAGAAGGCCAGGCACTGAGCCTGCGTGGAGGGCTCGTACAGCTCGGAGGTGAGCTCAGCCACGCGCCCCGCCGGCAGGGAGCCCTTGCTGGTGCTAACCAGCATGTAATGGCCTGGGGAGAGAAGAGCCCCCGCGCCATAACCCCCCTGTCCCACCCTGCCTGTGGTGGGGGGACAGCAGGGTCTGCCAGGAAAAACCCTTCATGACTGGTTGGGGAGCTCTGGGCTTGGGGACCCCCAGGTTTGGAGAGCTTGGTGCCCCCTCAGTGCTCATCTCATGCTCAAGCACTTGCAGAGGGGTGCAGAGGCTGGGGTGCCCAGCCTGGGGGCCAGCTGGCAGCAAAGGGGGTGCCCTTGGCACAGCTGGCCCAGGGTAGGGACAGGGACCGGGCAGGGACAGGGACAGCGATAGGCATAGGGATGGAGAAAGGGGCAGGACAGGGACAGGGTCAAGGACAGGGACAGGGACAGGGACAGGGAGCTGGCAGCAAAGGGGGTGCCCTTGGCACAGCTGGCCCAGGGTAGGGACAGGGACCGGGCAGGGACAGGGACAGCGATAGGCATAGGGATGGAGAAAGGGGCAGGACAGGGACAGGGTCAAGGACAGGGACAGGGACAGGGACAGGGCTGGCAGGCAGGACACTCAGGGCCAGCAGCAGGTCTCCCCCCAAGACCCGGCAGGCCCTGGCCCGGTACCTGCGGCCGTGCCGGTGGTGTGGTCGGCCGGTGGGCCGGCGGGGGGGGCGGCCGGGCCCCTGCTCCGCCGCAGCCCCGGC